AGACAAAAAAAAAAAAAATTATTTAAGGATGAGATATGTTGAACATATTGGCTGGATTCATGCATTGCATTAAATTATAATTTGTTTTTGCTTTAGCGTGAAGTGTAACCTCAGTTACTATGATTTATAAACCAGAGTGTGATATGTGAACTCAGCAATTGTTTATTCAATAAACCATCACTGAAAATGATGCCTTGGTGTCTTGTGTCACTCAGCAATTAAGCAAAGTAAGGGTTGTTTGTGGGGGTTTTTCCCATGAAACTGGAAAGGTTCAAACATTTATAAGACTGGCCTTGTGCTCTTTTAGAGAACTTATTAGATACCAAAACACTAAATGAAATCACCCAAGCTACTCATTCGTGAGTACCTGCAGGCTGAAGGATTATTTTATGCTAATCTGAATTGTCTACAGTGCGTGTACACATACAATCATTGCTTTTTCATGATTCAAAAGTAAGTTTTTAGTGGATAAGTCCTTCTATGTGCACCCCCAGGAAAGTCAGCCATGAAATAATATTATCTGCATACTAACACAAAGATTGATTCTATATGTGCATAGCTTTTTTATCCTGATAGAAGAACACATTGCTGAATGCCCTCTTCTTGGGCGGTCTTGACCTCACCTTCTCTTTCTGGCACTTCCTGCTGGAAAGGAGTTAGGGAGTCACTGCACATGGAAGGGTTCCCCTGAAGTTTGACATGGTGGATTCTTTGCACCTTTAATTGCACAAGTGCATCTCTGCAGGACAGCTCATTATTTCGCAGATCCAAATGGATAAGGATTCCAGAGGTAGGAAACATGGAGAGGTCCAGAGACTGAAGTTTGTTGTTGTTCAGAAGTAGGGAGTGAAGGCTTTTCAAGCCTTGGAAGCTCTTTCGGTGTACATACGAAATGCCACAGTTGCTTAGGTCCAAAAGGCGAAGACCACCGAGGTTACAAAAGAGAGAGGAGGAAAGGGTAGGAATGCTATTGCTGGAAATGTTTAGGGAATGCAGGGAAGAAAAGCTCCTCAGAAAAGGCCCACTCTTGGGCATCGTCAGGGAATTGAAAGACAGATCTAGGATGGTAATGTGCCTGGGAAGACAATTTGGGGGGCGGAGAAGGCTCTTTCCACTGCAGGTAGCCCGTCCCTACAAAAACATATCCACATGTGAAAGATGAAGAAATTCAGCAACCTTCAATGGAATTAATGTTTCAAATTGACTTGGGGATTTTTTCTTTCCACAAGAATCATTGAGAGACAGAACCTAGAAAGGTAGATTCTGTTCCTTCCTTTTACATAAAACTAAAAAATTAGTTTAGTTTAAAAATTAGTTTAAATTAAAAATTGGATTATTTGCCAGGAACCTTGAGATTACCTCACAGGTAGTTTTTGATGTTACTGTTTGTAAATAGATATGGTTTTTAGAAACTTTTTCCTTTTTTGCCAGATGGTTATACTGAAGAGTTAAATACCATCAGTTACTTCTTAGTTACTTTCACACTGAACAGGCAGCACTTATTTTGTAACACTTTTCGGGTCCTTCACCTCTTTTTTCTGCTGTGTCCCTGTGCCTTCCTCTCACCTCCAATTCATGCCTGAGGCAGTCATAAATAATAATTTATTTATGGTAAATTAACTGTTTATTGTTTGGAGTTTATCCACAAAACCTGTGTTCAACCAAATACAGTGATCAGGCTTTCCCACGGTCTAGGTTCCTTCCACGGAGAACATTTAACTTAGTCTACACCTGATAAAGATCACTCCTTGCTTACCATTTTATCAATGTTACAAGGATGTCCAGATACCACATACCATGCCAAGAGGATGCTGGAGATCCAGAGGTACCAAATATATTTCATTTTGCTTTAAAAAGCTGCAGGAGAGAAAAAGAATGCAATGCACACTTGGTGACACAACAACCCTAGGGACTGTCCTCACCTTAACAGTATAGTAACAAGGTGGTAATGTAGGTAGGAAAAGTAAAGCATGGCTATCTTCAGCCTCCCAAAAGGCTAGTACACCTCTCAGCTTGGTAACCTGCTTCATACATTCTGCAAATTCACAACTGTATTAAGCATGGTTTGTCCAGTATACCACATTGGCTTGATTCACACAGTGCCCCATGTTATAAGCAATTATTTAAAAATCACAATGTCTGGGTTCATACAATATTTTAACACAAACCACAGTACAATATGTGAATCCAGTTAGGGACCATGCGTGCTACTTATATTTATAATATAGTGTATACGTGCATGCATACACCATCCACAGGATGGTGGTGATGGTTGTAATATCTGGTCTTGAGCACTAATCTGATACCAGGATCCAGTCCCAGTTGTTTAAAATTATGATTCAAGTTGAGATATCATACTGGGGTGATGTTGAAGGAAGCATTATCAAAAAAGTAAAGCAGAAAATTCAGGCCAGAATGGACAGATAAGCAAAAAACAAATGAATAAAACCAAAATATAAAATAACATTAGAATGCGGAACAATCAAGTTGATATGGGAATGGAAAAGGACCAGTTGCCTGACTTCAAGGAAGCAGGAGGGATTGCGAGAAGAAAAGTCGGTTCCAGTTTGGTGCGAGATAAGTCCCCTGCTGACCAAGTCACATTGTGATCAGAAGTTGCGACTGCATGAAATTTTGCTGCATCTCATTGCTTCTGTGGATGGAAACTTCTGTTTTAAATAAATTGCTCTCAACAGAAGTGACAAGCGACAAAAGCAAATAAGACAAGCAGGCTCATAATGTCCACATCAGCTTCTCCCCTGTTGAAGAGAAGGGGGACTTTTCTTTAGCCCACTCAGAACAAATGAGACATCCACCTCATCAGTTAATTGTGATCAGGTTTATTCCTTCTTGCTTCATGAGGATGGCAATATGTTTGAGAAGAATTGCAGGGAAGGGAGGACAGAGAATAGATCTGCAAACACTTAAACAGTCTCAAGTATATTATATACTGAAATCAGAAGGGTTGAGAGACAGAAAGCCTCACTGTTTGGAAGTACCCAGAAGAAAAGGAAAAAAAATAATGAAGGAAGGAAAGGACTTAACCACTCAGCAGCTGATGGTTTTGCTTTGTTTTTTTTCCCAGGCCACACATATGGAGATACCAAAATGTTTTGCTGTACATGTCAAAAACAGAAGCTCAGTTAAATTTTACATCATTGAGAGTAGTGTGCTTGCTTAGGGGAAGGAGGATAGATGATTGATAGAGACAGACAGACAGACAGATTTCTTTTATTACGATCATTGACCAGCTAGCATAAAACAAAAAAGCATACGGGGTAGACAATAGAGCAGTAAGATGACACATACTCTGACATGACAATGGCTGACAATGAAGTATTTCCCACATTTAGGGGAGAAGAGGTATTTCTGTCAGGGTGTTAATCATTTTAAGTAAAACAAACCGGCATGTCCTGAGGAATTTGTTATTAAAGGCGCTATAAGGCAAAACTACTTAGGGGATGCTGGGTGACCTGTAGAGCTATTGCGTACCACTTTGCTGCTGTGGCTTCTTTTAAATGACCAACCTGAGTTACTTGAGGCCACTCTGTCTAGTAGGTCTAGTCCTCATTCAATAAGGGCTTAAATTTTATCTGGCTTATTAAGTGTGCTCACTGTGATCCCTTGAGCTTCTGTTGGGCTTAGCCTTGGCGGATTGACAACAGATGCTCTCTCTTACAGGAGGTGCAAGATATCTTATATGCTACAAACGGTTGTCATTGCTGGAAACTGAAACCCATAACCCCTGAAGGGCAACAGGTTATCTCTTACTAATTGAATCTGATAATGGGAGCTTTAAGATTCAAACCTCATGGTTCTTCCTGGGGCTGTCTACCTTCTCTGTCAAGCATCACTGTGTTTACCATAAACTGAAACAATCCTTTCTTTGTTCTGCTCCACCGTCCCAAGTCCAAGGTAGTTGTAAGAAAACAAAACAAAGCAAAAATTGAAAAAAAGGGAGTTCTGAAAAAAGCAGAAGCATTTGGCTAACACAGGGAAACAGATTATACTAAACTGGATTTTGAAGAGGCATTACTGGTTTTGCCAAATTACACTGACCTGCATCGGTCATCCAGGTTTTCAGGATTGGCCTCAGTGCTGATGTCCTTTGTCTCTATATAGAACTTGGCCCCACGTTTCTTCACATGCAAGACACACAGACTTAAGGAGTTCCGTATTGCTTACCTTCTGCTAAAAAAAGAAGTCTGGTTTCCTGATTCTGACCACTCTGCCCCCAGCTTGATGGAGCAGCAAACGTGTGGTTTCCTGTCCGGAGAAGACTCCCCCTGCCCCATCCCCAGTGCATACATGCACACCCTACCCCTGCCCTATTTCACAAAGAGTTGTGCACGGCCATGAGGCAGGACATTTCAATCGGAAAGATTTCTCCTCCTTGCATACTTTTCACTGTTCTCCAGACACTCCCTGCAGGGGGACAAGTATTTACCTCAGGCCTCATGCCAGGCTCTCTCTGGGTGTGCTCTTCTGCTTTCTCCCTGGCACTCTTCTTTCTTTCCTTCCTGGATCTGTGCACTAGGGGAGTGGCAGGTGCCCAAGAAAATGGAAGGTAAATGAGAAAAGGGTGAAAGGTAAGGAGGCTGGTTACACATTAACTGGAATCGGCTTCTCTTGTCTTTTTGGCATGATTGGACAAACACAGGCAACTTAAGTAGCACAGTCGGAGAAGCTGTTGCCAAAAAGTCATGTATAGAATGCACGTGTTTGTTTACACAGGCCTATGCATTAACCGTGATTTCCTAATATAAAACACGGGTATACGTGCATGAAGGACAACTGTTTGGTTATGGAGCATATCCTTTTTGTGCAGAAAGCTTCAAGTTTAGTTCCCAGTACCTCCAGGTACAGATACAGGGGAAAAAACCCTGTATGCCTGTCCCTCTTGTTGAATTGTGGCGCAATCCACCCATCCTTCAGGAGGCAGAAAATTATCATGGCATGAAGTTGGCTGCCCCATTACAGATCCCTATCCTGCCTCTCCCGTGGGGCAATTATGTAAATCAGGGAACAACTGGCTCAAATAATAATTGGGGAGAGCTCCTTTTTATTTTTGTCACTGTTGTTGCGATTATTACTTACTCCTGTTATTATAAACAAAAGCTGAGTGTGTTGTAAAAATCCAGCTACTGTAGTTAGTTTATTGCTCACTGTGTATTGTGAACTCAGGAAGTTGGTCAAGTTCCATAAACGTTGATTACAATCCACAATGACATTAAAACAATAACATGGTGCAGTTATGTAATTTGCATCAGTCCCTTCATGGTGACTGACACAAGTACATAAATGAATCCTGTCAGCATTAATCACATAACGCACATGTTGTCATTTGCCATCCCCCATCCCCCCATCCCTTCCTGTGGATATTTATGGTCAATTCAAACCCAAATTAAAAATAATGTGCTATGAAAATGCAGCCAATGACTGGCCTACACATCACACTAAGGCCATCCTTCGGATGCAATAGAGATAGCATTGTCCACGTTTTGCAGTAAACACTGTCCTCTTTAGTGTTTCTTTCTAGATGTAGTTCCCCATCCCCACTTTCACTTTTTGATTTACTATAACAATACTTCACTCATTGTAGGCATCATTGGGAATTGGTGGAGCATGGTCATTTTGCCTTGTGGATGAATTCTCTGGTGAAGGGATGTGGCTTCTCCAGCTGTCTTAAAGGAAACAAGGGCTCCAGTCACAATAGAGCAACTTCCTGCTTTCTTTATAAAGTTTTATGACAGATCCTTTGATATAATTAAGAGCAACCAGATGAGTCCAAACACTGCTCATTGGATCTTCTACATTTTGTCAGGCAGTAGATCCACCACTAAAGTACAACTCCCACTATCCAGAGGAAAGCTGGATATAATTTCTGCTCCATAGCGTAACAAACTGAAGGTTCTTTGAATGTTACTGTGTTTGAATTACATTATTACCATGGTTAGCTTCTGAGTTCACATAACCTATTAAATACTATGAATCCAGGTTTGCAAGTGGCATTGCTAGTTTGTAGTTTTATGTGCATAGCCAATACAGTATCTGGTTTAACATAATTGACTACCTTTTTTTAGCTGCTACTGTTTTACCAGATCACCTCAAAATCAAAGCCATCAGTAATTCTGCAGAACGTGGAACTCCTCTTAGGGTTGTCATGGATTGTGATTGTTTTGTCCTAGAGCTGGCTGCCCCCATGCCATCTCTTCAAAAACTCACAAAATAAAGTTGTGGGCACAAATACCCATTTACAAAGAGACTTTATCGTTTTTAAATGCTTCCTTCTCTAGAGGTACTGCCATGGCCTATACTGATCTTTAGAAATGAACAGAACTTATTGAATATGCCAGCCCATAGGCCTACATGCTTTTCTAACACAGATTAGGTATGAAAGTGATGTTTTCTCCATTGGTTATGCCAGTACAGGTCTATCAGATTTTGAACGCCACTTTTCATAAACTGAACAAGAAGCACTTGCTGTCATGAGGGTCTTTTTACATTGTGATTCATATCTGTATGATTAGCCATTTACTGTTGTGACTGACCATATGATCTTGCAGTCTCAGCTCAACCACTTGTTAGTATTAAATGTTGGATCTTACATGTATAGGTTTATGACTACAATTCTCTTTGGAGTCAGAAGTTATCCTACTGGTTACTTCTCTAGGAATCAGGCTTCTTCTAGTCATCCCACTATAGACATGGCATGTTCTTTCTCAAAATTATAGCACTGAACACATAAAAGAAGCCATAGACACTGACTCCTGTTTACAAGTGATAGCCACAGTTCAGCAAGGAAATGAGCTTATTTTCTGAAAGTCTGGGTGGTATTTAGCTCCAGGATCATCCCTTTCTACAATCTTTTTCTAATATCAGAAAATATCTTACTGTAATGGATGGAGGTCTTTGGGTAATTATAACTGACTTACTGTGGTTATATTCACTGCTGTCCACCAGGAGGCAATATATGACCAATTTTATTCTTGTTGGAACTGGTCATATAGTGCCTCCTGGGGGCCTGTAGTGAATACAATCATTGTAATACAAAGTTTTACACACACACACACCCCTTTAGGGGGTTGGTCTTGAAACTTCAAGTATGAAGTCCAGACAAACTAACATCTATAGTTCTTTAGTCTGAGACTGCAAACAACTAAGAAAGGAAGGTGCTATCATTCATAGCAACTAGAACTATCATGCCTGTCTCCTTTGTCAATCAATACTGCTGGATTACATAGTGCCAATTGTTTAAATGCCCGTTCTGCCTTTTTACTCCTGTCAAGAAATCAGTTTTGATTTCTGCACTGTTCCTCATCAATGACTATTCTCATTTTCCAGACATTCCAGACACTTCCCCCTCAGTGAGGGCTGTAATACCGCATCTTGATTTCATCTTTTCAACCTACAGCATATCTCAAAACTGTTATAGATCCTCCTTTAAATGACACTTATTCTGGGTTTTCATCTTCAGAAAGAAATGCCTCATTGGAAAAAAAACTGGTACACACCATCCAGAAAGTCCTACAAATTGTGGAGGCTGAAGGACAAAATGCCAACCAAGCACAACAAAAATGTCTATGAAAGGCAATCACACTGTGTCCTAGAGTGGGTGTACTCCCTGCAACCATTCTTCTTGAACCTCTCCTGCACACTAAATTGCCACCTTTGTTAGTAAAGCAAAAGGATGGTGCTAACTGTAGGAACGGGGACACAGCACAAACAGCAGGTGAAGATGCAGACAGCACAGACTTGCTGAACACCCCACTCTTGCAATAGGGAACTGTGCTTTTGTGGAAAATGGGTAGCCATAAAACAAAACATCTCCAGTCTATGTGCCTCTACCATACTGTGCCACCCATGTTAACATTACTATGATCACAATTTAATAGGAACATCAGAAGATGACTTGGAATGTTTATCATTTCAAGACTTGGTGGCACTTTTCAGATGCAGGCTAATGATTGGAACCTTATAAAGTTGGCCTGAAATGCATCCCAAAAACATGCAACAGATCCTGAACTAGACGGATCAGCTATGACAACATCTGTGGAAAATTACTGTCTTCTGTGTCCTGACTATATGATTTGCCAATGTCCTGAACATTTAAAAGACTAATGATGTGATACGCCATCTCCAGCCTATGGACTTTATGAAATAAGATTGTGTACCTGGGTCAACATGTATACAGTTTGTGTAGGATACTGTATTGCAGATGATATTTGCCATGGGGAGCAAGTTAAGTGTGTGTACCTCTATGAATTATGGAATGGCATACTATAAACAGTTTGGGGACTTTCTCAGAGGTGGAAGTCTCCAGTGCAGACTGGAGCCAGGACAGGGCTACACACCAACTGGCTGTATGAGAATGTTTTTGCATTCATTCTTTGAGCAGGAGAAGAAGATGTTTCCAACAGCTGGAGGGACATAAGGCTTATTCTTCGCTCTGTATAATTTTCCTTTAACTCATTACTTGCCCATATTTCTGTTACGTGCCTGGTCTTATTGAATAAATTACCTTTGTTTTCATCTCGTTTGTGGGTTCATTGGCTCCAAATCCAACAACTTACTGTCAACAATTTACTATGACCAAATTGATACCTAGAGGAAAAAAACATTTTTTCTCTTTCTTTCAAGAAAAAGGGATGGACGTTTAAAAGTCCAGTTCACGTTTTTTAAATGTTTGTAACTAAACACAATTTGGAAATAATCCAGTCCATGTTTTTAAGTAGTAGCATTTATTTAATATACATTTATATTTAATATAGAAATGGACAATTAGATAAAAGCTTGAATAACAAAGTCATAATAAATTGTCTTTTGTTCTATGTGAATCTCTCATTTGGATTTAAATAAATACATCTCAAAACCCAGCAGTGAGCCATCAACAGGCACACAGAGATCAACAACATCTACACACTATTCAAAAGAGACAATAGAAAGGAAAACAAAAGACCAGAACATCTCTTCACCAGCAATCATCACCCAGATAAGCAGAGATTAACACCAAGATTACCAGACAATAGAAAGGAAAACAAAAGACCAGAACATCTCTTCACCAGCAATCATCACCCAGATAAGCAGAGATTAACACCAAGATTACCACCAGACATACAAGCAGTAAACAATAGCCTAATCAAGGAACTACCAGAGGGAAAAAAATAAAACAAAACCCACACCCACACCAACACAGGCAAGGCAGGCCACAGTATATAAACAGAGAGCAAACCCCACTCCATTCCAGCACTGAAGATGTTTCCTAGCCGGGTAATGAAATGTTTGCAAGAAAACAACCAAGCTCAGAGAACCCCAAGGACTCCACAGTTCAACCCTGAGCTACACATATTCGCTTCTATTAGTGAGCACAGCAGTTGAGTTTTGTTAATCTAGGGTTAGGGTTTAGTGCAAGAGTGGGTAACTTCCAAAACTTGAGTGCTG